GGTTGTGGTTGAGTGTGAAGCAACGGAAGAAGAGTTCAAACCCCCATCCACCTTTCCACATATGTAACATGTAGTAAAAGAGAATGAGAAACAAATGGTCTTGGACATACCAGAGGAATACTCACTCAACCTTTCTTCTTTGTCTTCTTATTCTAACCTTGATCATGTGGATTTTATTTTTGGGAATTTACTAGAATATGCATGGATTGATCTTGTGAAAGAATGCAGAAACATGTTGAGGATAATCCTACAAGAGCAATTCACCACTAAATATGAGGCCCAGAAAGAAAGAAAAGAGTGGGTCTTGCAGGTATTCTCAGAAGAATTGGGCATAATGAGCTCCATAAAGAATCCCAAGGAGCAAAAACGAGGAATGAATTCAGAATTAGGGGTGGAGTTCATAAGTTCTCGGAAAAGAAGAAACTTTTAGGGAAGTTTTCTTTACCTCTTGCTTTTTAATTATGTGTCATGGGCACATGCCACAACTTTAAGTGTGGGGTGGGGGATATTTGTATGTTGTATGTATATGTGTTAATTTCTGCTTTTAGTTTTTGTTAATTTTAGTAGTTAGAGATAGAAAAAATTGAAAACAAATAAAAATTTTAAAATTTTTAATTTTTCCCGACGATCGATATCATTCGACAGGTTTCTTGAAGGATTAAATTCGAAAGAAAAAGATTTTCTTTTGTAGTTAGTGTATTAATTACCCCTTGGTTTTTTTTGTGCCGCGGTTCTTTTCCAAGGGTTTTGTTTGAACCGGGTGTAGTTAGTTTTTGTTTTTAGAAGTAGGAAAACCTTGTGCTATGATTTGAAATGGAATCAATATCTCTTGACTTGATCATGCCTTGAGAACAGTGAGTGCTTTAGTTGTGACGCTTAGGCTCAATTTTTGACTCTTGGATAGGTGCCTTAATTTGTATGATCTTAACTTTGCTTAATTGCTTTGACTAGAGTGTCTTGATGAATTCAATCTTGAGTGAGTTATGTTCCATGTGTGTGTGAGGTTTGGTGTATTCTGTGCATTGAATTTGATGTCTAGAACTTGCCCCGTGTGGTTGCAAAGCAAAATAGTAGTGTTATTCAGTCTTGGAAGTGATATAGGCGTTTCTTTTTTGAGCCAGCTATATAGTTTACCCACTAAATTGTTTTGTATCGTAGTTAATCCTGTTGAGCTTGTAATCCTACTTCTTTGGAAACCACATTACAAGCCTTACCTATTTGTTTGAATTGACCATCTATTTGAACCTTTTACCTCTCGTGAGCACTTAAAATTGTATGAACTTTTTAAAAGTTGAAGTGTGGGGTGGTTGGTTTGGATTTTGAGTGAAACTAATGAAATAAGAAAAAAGGTGCACTATTTTGAAAAAGTAAGAGCCACTTGAATTGAAAAAGAAAAAGAAAAATTTATGTAGTTGTATGGTTGTGAAAAATGATATTTGATAAGTGGTAACTCTTGATGTAATTGTGCTTAAAGAAAAGGGGAGTTAATGCATATTGATGTTAAGGTGGAGTATGGTTTTACATAAGTGTGGGATTTTGAATGTTAAATTGTATGTATTAAAGTGCTTAGAGAGGTGTAGTCACTCTTATATCCAAATATATCCTACATGTCCGGTAGCCTACATTACAACCAACTAAAGTCCTATTTGATCCTTGACCAAATGAGCTCAATTAGTAGAGTAGTACACTACAAGCAAGCTTATGGTTCATCTTTTGTGGCATATGAATGTGGTTTCTGAGAGTGAGTGAATTCTTTCTATCTTGAGTTCCTGATTGTTCTAAATTTTTATGGTGTGTGGAACTACTCTCTTTTGTTGTGTGAGGACACTTGATTCATGAAGGAAAGGTAATGTCGTTGACCTCTATGTTAGAGTAAGTGAGTAAGTTGTGAATAATGCGTGGTGCTTGTGATTCAACTCTTGAGGTGAAGATGTAACACTATTGTGCTTAGTCTATTTTAAATATTCTTAGTATGATGATTTATGAGAGTTGTTTAAAAAGGTCGTGTCATTATGAAGTATAGTTTGATTGCTCGAGAAAGATCAATGGTTTAAGTGTGGGGTGTTGATGGTAGGCTATAATCTCATATTTTAGTCACTTATCGCACTCTAATTTACTGCACTTTAATTGAGTTGGAGCTTTAATCGCTAGTATTTTGCACTAATGGTGTATTTTATGCCTTGTAGGAGTGATTCTGATCTATGTAGATGTTATGGAATTAATTCAAGCTATTATGGATCTTTGAAGTCTTAGTAAAAGTCCAAGGATTAAGTTGGAATCGAGTTCGGGGATCAACGGATGATAGTGGAACGAAACGAAGAATCGAGCAGGCATATTGTGCAGTATACAATAAAATGTACATAACTCTTTGCTCGGAACTCCGTTTGGGATCCAAAATATATCGTTAGAACGCTATTTAAAAGGGCTACAACTTTTGTGTTTTATACTTTCCCACATTCCTAACAGAACACCACACACATTCGTAGCAGCGCACTGGTCGCGCACTGGAGGCAGAACAAGGTGAAAAATGCGCGGTCAAGTGCGCGAGCACACCTCCAAGTGCACGGACGCGCACGTCCTGTCCAAAAAAAGTGTCCTATTTCATGTAGGAGAAGGTGTATTTATTTGGGCCCGACCTTACTTGGTATATGTACATGGAAAAGCGATATTTTGAGGACTTTTGACATAATTTTGACCTAAGGAAGCTAAGGAGAAGAGGTAGAAGCAAGAGCACAAGGATTTCACCATTCATCCTCACTCAAGACAAGGGTTTGGATGCTTTATGTTTTCCTTTGACTTAAACTTAATTGTGATAAATTTCTCCATATTCATGGAGTAATTCTTCCTTAGGGATTGATGGATTTGGTGTTTTGAAAATTGTTTGTGGATATTAACTCTAGTTTTATGTATTGAATCGTTTTGGGTGTTTTTATTATTGCATATATATTCACTTGTTTATGTAATCGAAAGAGGCATAATTTATGATGTTCTGCATTATCTTATTGGTTGAATTCATTGATTATTTTTAGCAATCTAAAGAGGCTAGTTGAATTAATGTTTAGACCTAGTTAGGAGGATAATCGAAAGAGGTTCTCCTAAGGATCAATCCATTATGAATTCTTGCATATCTTTACCAAGCTTAACTTAGTTCATATCATAAGGTTAAGACTTAATAGAGAGAGGAGCTTCTACTGAATGTTTGAACATAATAGAGTGAAGTCGAGAGACTCACTTGAACCTTAGAAGTGAATCGACTGGAGTTAATTCCCAAACAAGTATCTTACACCTATCCAATCAACCCCTATTTTCTCCCCTTGATATCTTCTTGCTTACTCTTATTGCAATTGTCATTAGCCAATAGTTAGACTTTTAGTTAATGTTAGTTTTAATTCACACTAATCTAAATTTTTGATCATCTTGTATAGTAATAAAGCTGTAAACTACGAAAACACAATTTAACTCCAATCACTGTGGATACGATATTTTCTATACTATATTGGACTAGCGAGCATAATTTTGTGTTATTTTTTGTAGCTCATCACTAGCCACACTGGAAAATGTGAAGGATCCACTTCACAATCACAAATTGACTGATTTTGAAGTTAATAAAGTAACAGTGCTTGATCAGGAGAACCCTATAATCTCTAAGGCAGGGGAACCAAATGAGAAAGATAGGGTTGTTGAACTTGAAACTCCTGTGGCTAATAACTCTAATGGGAAAGAGAAAAACAAGAACAAAGCCATACAACATAAGCAACAACCACTTGACCCCATTCCTATTCACGGTAAGCAGCTGCTGAGGACTACTGATAAATCCAGCTACAATTCTAAGGGTGCAGAAGTGACTAGGAACCCTGACCCTAGTTCCACTAAGCTAAAAGATGCAGAAACAAAGGAAAGTACTGTGGAATGGGTTCAAAGGATCTTTGTTAATCACAAGGAAGATTTTAATGTGACCCTAAACCATTCATGCCAGGAGATACCATCACAGACCTTTGTGGAATCAGCTCAATCTACTGGAGCTATTAGAATTAACACACACACATGGGGTGATGAATGCCATGAGTTTGAGCCCAACTATGAGGACAACACAAGATTAACAGAGGTAGATCATAGGTTAAACACACAACAACAACATGCAGCCAAAGAGAACAACCTGGTTATTGTAAATCATAGCCCAACTGGAGAGCTTCTATCAAATGTTGAAGATTCACAGCAAGGTTTTGCATCAAAGGATAAGATTATGGATGTTGATGCAAACATACTTCAAGAAATAGAGAGGGCAATCACTCAAAGTGATGGTGGGAAGCAACTGGCCATCAATAAAACAGTAATCTCACCAACCAGATCAACAATGAAACCAGGTCTGGGTAACATTTATAATCTACAATTCAGAATGGTACAGAAAGCAATGGGAACTGGAGGTCTAAACTCAATGATGCTAGAGGAAACAACTACATTTGAACCAAACATGCTTTGGTTCCTCATCAACCAAATGTAGTTGAGATAAATCCACTGGCTAGTGCTTCTGGAATTGGACTTCCACTACATCTTCAGCTAAACATGCCTCTTAAGTCACCTTTACAAGCCCTACATGAACTGTTAACACACAATGCTATACCACTTGAGATTCAGCAGGCAACAACTGATCTTGTTAACTATGGAGAGGAAGAGGATGATGAATCAACAATAGAAAACTTTAAGTCAGTAGCGAGGGAAGCATATTTATCACCCATAGTTGGTGATAAGAGTGGAAAAAAAGGAATAAAACAAGGCTAAACCAAAGAAATTCCACAAGCAAAACGGATCCTGCCCAGAAGGGCTGCATCACAGACCAAATGATGATCAAGACATTAATCTGGAATATTAGGTCTGTCAACACTCAGTAGGCCTTTCCTAGGGTAATCAATATGCAAAGGGAGCACAATTTCTGTGTGATAGCACTAATGGAGCCTTTTCAAACGTCAAGGCATATACAAACATATAGGAGCATATTGAATATGGAAACTGCCTTCTCAAATTTAAATGGGAAGATATGGTTGTTCTTCGACTCTGCGGTTGAATGGGAGTTGGTTACAGAAACTGCTCAACAAGTGGTTGTAAGGATGTTCCACCATGATCTTGGCCAGCACATTTTGATGACTTTAGTGTATGCAAAATGTTCATCGGTGGAGAGATTGGAATTATGGGATAGCTTGTATTACTTGGCAAATGACATGGAATTACCTTGGTTAGTGGGAGGTGACTTTAATGTGGTCTTGTAGACACTGTTTCTTAGACTGGTTGTTTAGATGCTCATGACTTGGTGACACCCGATGTTTGGGGCTATTTTTCCGCACTGTATTTTGAGTTAAACTCATGTTTTTTACGAAAACTCTGTCATGTAAAAGCTTTTGACTTATCTTTTGTGAAACATTGGAAGTACTTTTTAGAATCGACTTGCCTAGTACCATCGATAGGCGCCATCACGACAGGTTAGAATTTTGGGTCGTGACATTTAGAGTTGGTGGCGATCTGTTGGTTCGGGTGCTACAGAGATGAGTTTTTATTTAAGGCAACAACTGGGAAGTGAAATATGAGGAAGGACTTGTGGGAGGTGTCTTGAGGTGGTTAAACTTCTAGAAGGCCAAGTGTAAGAAAACAGAAGTTGAGTAGTTGCTTAAAGGAGAGGGTCTGACCAAAGTGGGAGAGTGTCCGAGTAGCATATGGGTTCTGTGGTAGGATAGCTACACGCGTTGAGGAAAGTTTAGAGTGATTTGGAACTCATGGTGGATAGTTACTAAGTCTACGAACTTAATTTGGAATATTGGATGCTATATAGAGCAAGGTTGGATACGACAGAAATGAGTTGCTTGATATGAAGAAGGATACAACATGACTTTAGATTGGAATGTATTGTTTCACCTTTAGTTGATGTCCATGAGGAGTGAATAGACTTGTACAGCTGGTGAATGAGCACATTCTTGGGATGGTTTATTGGTTTCGTGGTAATTGTACTCGGTGCAGCGTTGTTAGAAGATGTCGGCATGGAATTTCCACAGGTGGGTTATTTCCGGTGAGCAGGTTAACGATTGCGTTATGTTGACGAAGCTTCTGCGAAGAATTCTACTAGCTACCCGGTAAGAGGTAGAACATGTGAATGTGGCTAGGGGTATTACATGAAGATGAAAAAATAGGGGGTCGTCTAGTATATCCACCTGAATATGAGGACTTTGTTTTTTGTGTAAACTCATGTGGTTTGTTTGATCATGATTATAAAGGAAGCCCATTTACATGGTGGAATGGGAGACCTAATTCAGAGTACATTTTTAAGAGATTAGACAAGATTTTTGTCAACTTACAATTTCAACAACTATTTCCAACAACTGAAGTGGAGCACTTGATCAGGACATGCTCAAATCATGCACCATTGCTAATGACTTGTGAGGAACAAACCACAAACTTTGTCAAGCCTTTCAAATTCTTGAATTTCTGGACAAAACATGCTACATTTAACGAGGTGGTGAGGCGGAATTGGAATGCTGATTTCATTGGAGATCCATTTCTAATGTTCAAGCATAAATTGAAGAAGGTAAGGGCAACATTATCTAAATGGAGCAGGGATACATTTAGAGATATTTTCAAACAACTGGCTATACTGGAAGACATTGTGAAGGTCAAAGAGATGCTGTTTGAGGAGGAGCCAACAATTGAGAATATAATAGTCCTTCAAAAAGCTCATGAAGAAATGAAGAAATACTTGAGTATAGAGGAGCAATACTGGAAACAAAAAGCTGGGATGACATGGTTTGCAAAGGGGGATAGGAACACTAATTTCTTTCACAACAATGTCAATGGCAAAAGAAAGAAGCTGCAATTGAAAAGGATCCAAAATGGAGATGGAAATTGGTTGAAAGATCAAGAACAAATAGCCAATGCTACAGTTGAATTCTATCAAAAGCAGTTCACTAATGAAGGGAATCCTACAGATGTTTTCATGCTGGAGAATTTACCTACTATGGTGACTTTGGAGCAAAACTTGGAGTTGTGTAGATTTCCAACAATAGAGGAAGTTAAGGCAATAATTTTTAAGCTAAGTGGAGATAGTGCCAGTGGTCCTGATGGATTTACTGGACTATTTTATCAAGAATGCTGGAAAGTAATATGCTATGACATAAATGATATGATACTATATTTCTATGGTGGTGCACCTTTGCCCAAGTCTATTACTCATACTAATTTGGTGTTGCTATCAAAGAAGCCCAAGGTGCACACTTTCTTAGACTTAAGACCAATAAGTCTGAGCAACTTTATCAATAAAGTGTTGTCTAGAGTTCTACATGATAAATTGGAGCAGTTCCTGCCTTCTCTAATATATCCTAATCAATCTGGATTTGTGAAAGGGAGGAGCATATTTGAGAATATGCTACTCACTCAGGAAATTGTCACTGACATAAGATTGAGAGGCAAACCTGCCAATGTTATCATTAAGCTAGATATGGCAAAGGCATATGACAGGGTTTCATGAAAATATTTGTTACATGTACTAAGAAGAATGGGATTTGCCGAAATTTTTATTAATACGATATGGAATTTGGTGTCAAACAACTGGTATTCAGTTTTGGTGAATGGACAGCCCTTAGGTTTCTTTAAGTCAAGAAGGGGAGTTAAGCAAGGTGATCCTTTATCTCCTGCCTTATTCATTTTGTCAGTTGAGGTATTGTTTAGGTCCTTGAATAAGCTCTTTGAAGACAAGTCATTTGTTGGATATGGTATGCCTAAGTGGTCTGATCCTTTGAACCACTTGGCATATGCTGATGATACAATAATATTTGCCTCATCTCATCCTCCTTCATTGAGTAAGATCATGGAAATACTAGGCAGATATGAACATGTGTCAGGCTCAGTGATCAACAAATATAAGAGCTCTTATTACATGCATGCTAATGTTGCACATGCTTCGTTCCAGGCAGTAGGTAACATTACAAGTTTTGCAAGAGGAGAGTTCCCCTTCACATATTTAGGGTGTCCAATCTTCTACACTAGAAGAATAAAGGATTACTATTATGATCTTGTAAAGAAAATAAAGGCTAAATTGCATTCTTGGAAAGGAAAACTCCTATCATTTGGAGGAAAGGCAACACTAATTACAAGTGTGTTGCAAATTATGCCATTGCACCTACTTTCAGTGTTCGATCCCCCTAAAAAATATTATTGAACAGTTGCATAAAATCTTTGCACGTTTCTTTTGGAGCACCAAAGAGCAAGGTAGGAGCAGCCATTGGGCTTCCTCGCAGAATCTATGCCTTCCTAAAGAAGAAGTAGGTTTAGTGTTTAGGACTTTCCATGATGTATCTAAAGCTTTATTTTCTAAACCGTGGTGGAGGTTCAGAACTGCTAAATCACTGTGGACTAACTTCATGTGGAATAAGTACTGCAAAAAGGAATTACCAACACTGGTGTAATTTAGACAAGGCTCTCATGTTTGGAAAGAAATGATGCTTACTAGGGAAGAAGTTGTCACGACCCAATTCTCCCTCCATAAGATGTCGTGACGGCACCTAGTCTATATGACTAGGTAAGCCTAACAAAATGCGAAAATAACAAAAATTGAAGTAAAACTTAACAACTAACTGCAACAGATAACTAAATAACTGGTAACAATGCCGCTTGTCATGTGCAATAACCAACACTCTAGTAATACACATTATTCCTAAAACCCGGAACATCATAAGTCACAAGCTACAGAGGGAAACTAGAATCTCTATACACCAGAGTCTAATAAAAGAAATACGAAAGGTAACTGACATAGGGGAAAATACAGGGGGACTCCGAGGTCTGGGGATGCGGCAGATGTACCTTGAAGTCTTCGTACAACAGCAATCACTCTCAGTTAATAGCGGGCTGATGAGAAGCACATGTATCTGCACACAAAACATGTGCAAAATAGTAGCATGAGTACACCACAACAGTACCCAGTAAGTGTCAAGCCTAACCTCGGTAGAGTAGTGACGAGGTCATGTCCGGGCCCTACTAAAGATATAATAATAAGACATATAATATAATAAAATGAAGTAAAACGGGAAATATAACAGAATGAATTCACAGAGAAATAATAACACAGCATAATGTGATAACAACAGGGACACTCCCGAGATACTGTCTCGTAGTAAAAAATAAAATAAACACTCAACATAGGGTCTCCCGAGATACCGTCTCGTAGTCCCAAAAGTAAATATGCGAGGAGATCTCCCGAGGTACCG